CGGTATTTCCCGCAACTATGCTCTGAAAGTTGATCTATCATTTGACATATGTAATTCTCATATTTCAAACACATCTCGTTCCTTGTCATACATATCGTCGCGAGTTCATTTAACCTCATTTCGTGCCTCATCCAAACCTACCCTTCCCTATTTCTTTAGCTAACACATAGAACTCTTTCAATTCTTATTACCTCTCTGCTTTTTTATTCGATGCGCAAGCAGGCAGGAGGGAAATCAACTACATCCATTCTGATATTGCGAATCTTACTACTCATACAAATAGTATATTCCATGCACGTACGCACCGTCCCAGATCTGTTTCCTCCAACCCCTCTCGACATTACATTTCCACAATCGAACAGACAATCAAGCAGCCCCCTTTAGGCATGCATCTCCTAGCTAGGCAATACCTGCACAATCTGCCTTGCCTTCCTCCCTGGTTAACTTCATCAGATGGCATGGCACAAGCCCCGCTGTCTACCTGGTATTGGATTCACTCTATTCCTTTGTATACAATATATATAAATACATAAATAAACGGCTTTTTTTGTTCCAAGTCATATTCACTAGGAACTTGCTTGTAAACAGAATTGGCGATTGATTGCCGGTTCTTTCTTTAAATATTCATTGAATCCAACCCCCCTCTTTTATCCCCCCCCCCAGTGTCTTGTCCGTCCACACAGGAACGACACCACATATTCATTATCCATTTCCTTCCGGGGCAGCAATCTGGCTGGTTTGGCTGGTTGGCTATAAATCCAGCACTACCTACCAACCTATCTACCTGCCAATGGCTTATTTCCTCGAGGTGGGGGCCATCAATGCCGTGTCTTTCACGCGGGGCGCTCTACCTTCACGGTTATGTAACCCTCCCCCCTGTCTACAACCACCTCTTCGGTTTTTATGTAAGTGATTTTAGGCCATTTAGGCACCCTGCATATCTATCCATCTATAGTATCATTATTCAAGAAGCATTTGGTGAGGGGTCGGGTGGGGTGAGGCGAGGGAGGGAGGAGAGTCAGGACTCAGAAGGCAATGGTGGATTTGATCTCCCTTATCAATGAATGATGTTCATTTTATTAAACAAGAGTGAATATTAGATTGCCGTAAAGACATGGGTATATATATGTAATATGTGTAACAAATATTCAAAATAAAACAAAGAAGGAAAGAAATATATATAGCAAACGAAATTTTAGATATGTTCAAATCCAACCACATTTCCCAAAGATCCAATTATACAGTCAGTAATACAAACCAATCACTAACCGACCAGCCAGAGGTAGATTAGATATCAGCATGTTCCCACGAAGCCCTCGACAATGAATATCCACAGTCCACCAAGCTTCAAACTTCAAACATCAAACCTCAAACCTCAAACCCCCCGCCCCTTTCATTTCGGCTCCAACAACGGCGGATTCGCAATCCTCCCCTTATCCGCCGGATTCTGCACAAACCCGTACGTGACTCTGCCAACCTGCGTCTCACTCACCAACCCCGTCAGATCCCCCCGATACTCATATCTCAGCGCAGCCGCCAACACCTCCAGCGCCGACGGTTGCGGCTGGCGATATATCAGACTAATCACCGTGCGCGCGACGACACACACACAGCCAAAAATTGCCACTACGGACCCCATGCGGAATGTGCGAGACCTATTGCCGTACGCCCAGACGCGGAACCGTTTTGTTTCTACTTGGCGCGGGAAGCGCGGGTCATCGGCGACCTCTTTGATGTACGTATCGTTCTCGGAGTAGGAGATGCCGACGAGGGAGAGGCCTTGAATTGTCATTGTGATTTGTTGGTCGAGGAACCATTGGATGTGTCTTTCGAAGGTGGCTTGTTCTTCGGCGTTTGTTGGGGGTGGGGTTTGCGTGAGGGGTTCCAGGGCGTTTATTAGGTTGTAGGCGACGGTTCGGTCGCCGTTGACGGCCCCGCCGCGGGTTGTGGACCAGGCGGCCAGGTTCCAGTCGGCATGCACGTTTGCGTGGGTTATGTTTACGTCGGTGAGGATTTGCATCTCGACGATGGTGGTGTTGAACGTGGACGGCGACACTTGCAAGACGTAGTCGGCAACGGTATAATAGGGATATGCCAAACAGATGATCGTGTCGTTTGTTGCGGAGTAGTTTGGCATCGCGTACTCGTAGAACTGGGTACTCCATTCGAAGTCACCAGCGTCGGAATCGGTGGGGAGGAGCGTGGCCCAATCGCAGTCAGAGTTATCGGGTTCGGTAATACAATGTGCGTCTGAGTCGGATATTATATATGCCTTTTCAACAGAGTACACATCCACCGTGGCTTCCCTGAGGTTGATTCCCTCTCCTATAGTGTTATCTCCTATAGTGAAACCCGAGTAGGAAAGGTGACCGATGTCCCCCCAGCTATCCCCGGAGGGGTCGGGGATACAACGGTGGATAAACTCGCCTGGGGTACTAGTTGCGATTCGAGTGTAGCAACGCACTGGCTTTCCTGGAGCAATATCGAATTCGACGATCTTTCCTGTACTACATGTGTTCTTGACGCCGAGCGTGGGACCGTTGCGCCGCGTCTCCATGTCAAGGGAATTTCTGTAGTGGTCATACAGAGTCGGGTCTAATTCCGATCCAAGTCTCTCCTTTGCATGTGTATAGTTATCACTAGCCCTTGAAAGTAACATATCAACAAAGTCATCGCTCATCCATCTTAGCATCTCTCGAGAGGGCATCCAAGTGATTTCCTCCAGGTTGGTTGCATCCGATTGGTTGAATGTGAAACTTATACTCAGATATGGAACTACCGGAGGCACATATAGATGTCCTTGGTTATCCAACGAACGTCGCCACCATAATCCCGAAGACAGTTCATCCAGTGGCACGGAAAAATAGTTGGTACAGGTGTAATCACCGGCCGCCAGTTCGTCAGCCGGGCAGCCGCCATCCCCAGCGACACTGTCGATCTCAGTCGGAGGCAGGGCAGCACGTGTTCCCGCCACGACCCATTCCTTGGGAAAAGTTAGCTCTGACCAGCCGAGAGTAGGAATGGAAAGAACGGCGGTAGCAGGGCCCATTAGGTTGGACGCTATGCACAGAACCGCAGCTAAAGGCACAAATGCCCAGAGCCATAGCTTTGGTGGTTTGTACCAAGGGCAACGATCCTTCTTACCCCTCGAAGCCGTCCAGAAGGTTGGGCTCCATAGGATAGTCACGGAAGTAAATTCGAGATATGTCATGAAATGGCCGATCGGAAGACCTGAGTTGCTAACAGCTAGTATTATGGCCAAGTCTAGCATAAGACTGCTAGCAACAATGGTGAACCAGACCTCAAGTGCCTTGGCCACGATTTGCAATGCTCCCTGTATTTCATGGTCCTTCTTATCAAGGCTGGTGAGCTGAACCGTAATATTACTCCAAATATTGCAATCGTCTTTGTAGGATGGGAAACGGCAAGCAATGCCAGATCCTATGATCCATTTCGTATAATTGAGGTAAAGTAAGATCACTATCGGTGCGAGCCAGCTAAGGCAAAAGAGATCGAAGAGAAGGCGAGTACCGAATTTTTTGAACCGACGATTGTTTCCGTGATAAACGGGGTTAGGCTGTTCATGGGGAACCGTCGAGGAAGCAACGGGCTTGAGTTCGATAGGGCCGCCTTCGGAAATTGGCCGGTAGGAAAAATCCATGGTGTCCGGTGTATTCAACAACGAATGTTGAAGGGAAGAAGAGGAGTGTCCAACAAAAATCGCACCCAGCAGATTTTCATCGGGGGGTGAAGCATTGCCGAGATTTAAAATGTCGATGACCGAGCAGAGCCTCAGCCCACCCCTTGTCAGGGAAGAGCATGGCCGAACTACTCGGCTAGCAAGGATGGACTCGTGCTGTGGCCAACGGGGGCCCCGATCGCAACATGGGTGTTCAGCTGTGATAAGTAGTGCTAAAAATATGCATATCGGCCCCATTGCTCGAAAAATGAACGACTGTCTTGACTCTCCACTAACTACCCCCTAGGCCGGGCTAGACTGTGCTAGCGCTCGGGTGAGGATTTAACCTTTTCACCCTGACATTTCCCGAAAAAAGCAATGCATCTCTCCAGAGTCCAGAGATGTGTTGGAAGGGAACGAAAACAAGAACCATACTCAGCAGACGTCAGATCAAAGAACAATGGATTGCTCGCCCTCTCGCCGAACCGATAGATTTTCATCCCTACCCATGTGTCTGGGGCAGAGTTCAACCAGAAGTAAATTTTCTGCAGCCTTGCATAGCGCCATTAGTTTCGTCTTGGGGCCCATAGCTATCCATGTTATGTATCATCCAGGCACCCTGGATGCCCGATGATTGGGTTGGCACTGGGCGAGCAAGCCATCAGTTTAATATGGGGCCAGGGCTGACAGCCAGGGTTCCTGCACTGTTCCCCCATATCCCGGATCCACGTCTTTTTTGCATGGCCAATGCTGAGGCTACGCACGGGGTCTCTCCAAGAGGAATGACCCGGCTGGGGAAAAAGGCATAATAATAAGGTTGTTTCTGACGAATCGACACTCATCACTGTCATCAAGCCGCGACTCTGACGAGCGTGCACGAACGGGCGCTAGTCAAACGACCTCGTAATTTGAAAGTGAGCCCGTCTGTTGTAGTGGAAAGCTTGAATGAACCTATGCTGCATATGTTCTAGGGGAATGGATCAGTTATGGGTGGGGACATACCGGACTCTGATATCCCCAGGACAAGACCCCAGCGCCTTTCTCAGGCTCATCAGTCGAGCGGCTTCTGGACCTGGTTGGGATCTCTCTCCGAGATGAACACAGGATATCGACGAGCCTTGACTGGGATCCCAGGGAATAATAGGCCTCCTCCACACCTCGACCATCGCCCTGTCATGTCGTATGTAACCAGACGGTGAAAACAGTGGACGTTGGTTGAGCAGAGCCGCATCGAACCTGCAGGATAGGTAAGCATCTTAAAAGATTCGTTAATTAATGCCGCTAATAATTCCTCCCCGCCACCATTTCCCCATCAAAAACAGGCGCGATGGCGGAGTGGTTAACGCGAAAGACTAGAAATCTTTTCCCTTCGGGGGCGTAGGTTCGAATCCTGCTCGCGTCGCTTGATTTTTTTCTTTCTTTTTTCTTTTTTTTTTTTTTCATTCCCTTTCTCATTTACCCGCGTACGGTTTACGTACATACTCTATTATGTATGGTTTCTTTCGCTCTGGTTCTATCTATACATACACTGTTATTTTCATCGGTTTGGTTTTTTTTCGTTATATTATGTTGGCATAGATCCCCTGGCTGGCGCCCCTTTTTCCTACGCATACACATAATTCCATATATGCAAAACATAATCCTTAATTAGAAAAATGAAAAAATCAGAAAGAAAAAAGATAAGATTAACTTCTTTTCATCTCTGCTAAAATAGGAGGAGGGAAAGAGGACACCAGCGGGCTGCTAGGGAAAATGAAGAAACATGGAAGAACCACATAGGTAGGTTAATAACAAATAAACCATCCAGGAGAATCAATAAAATAGGATTCCGGGAGGTGTTTTCTTTTCAAAAAGGAGAATTGGTAAAATATGAATTACCCACGGTAAAAGTAAAAGTAAAAGTAAAAGGGATCGAAGAAAGACAGGTAAAATCCCATCGTGTCAGGCACAAAAAACCATTAAAAAAACCATATAACTAGCTGGCAAGTAACATAAGGAGCATACAAAAAAAAGACATCATCAGAAAAAAAGCCAGCGCGAAATACAAGGGGGGGTTAGGTTAGGCAGGTAACATAGGTAGGTAAGTAGGGTGAAGCGGAGGTGAGAAATCTCCACCTCCCTCCGCTCCAACGGTTCCCACAATCCATCTTCCCATAAATATCATATCATACCTATCATATCAATGAGATGCGATTGGAAGTTTCAACTGTGAGTGACGCGACGCAGCTAACAAACAAATGCAGAATGCATGATTTATCCGAATTCGCCAAAAGCAAAACAGAAAAAGAAAAGAAGAAGAAAAAAAAAAAAGGGGGGGGGGAGGTTCTGTTTTTTTCGTAGAAAAATAGGGGGAGGTCCTCATTCTAAACCAACTAACTGGCCCCTGTCCTCTCACACCTCTCATACAACCCCCTTCTCCTGGGTGAATTCCCAAAGCATCTTGAGCAGGGTATCTGGGAGTGTGTAGAGGTCAACGTGGAATTCGCCCTCTATATAGAACAAAGAATAATACGTTAGTAGGGAGTCAGTCACTGGGGTCCGGACGCGGAGTGGTAGACGGGATAGATGGCATGCAGTGTACATACGTTCGATATCATTTTTCGTATACGAGTCTGATGATTTATTATCGTGGACCATCTGGACGACTCGGAGAAGGTCGTCCTCGCCGAGCTTCTGCAGGCCGTCTGCCAGTTTGTCCATGTCAACCTGTGTGAAGGGTGTGTGTTCTAGGTTAGCGGCCTAATTCGTCACACGTGTCTCCTCGAGAGCATATATGTTTGCAAAACAAAGAAACGCCCTTGTGGATCAGGGGCGGGTACATAACGCACATTCTTATCAACCCGTTTCTTCTTTTTCGACCCCTCATCCTGTGCGCCCCCGCGTTTCGACTTGACGCCGTTTTCGTCGCCGGGGACGGGTCCGGATTCTCGGAGGAGGTTTAGGAGGGCGGGTTTGGGGTTTTTGAATGTCTAGCATCAGAGGGTTAGTTCACTACTATCTTCCAATCAATATATATAATATACGGACAAGGACATGTTTCGACTCATATCTGTTCTGCTGAAAGTGTAGATCATGGTTGACAACATAATCTTTATCCAGCACAGAGAAAGTAATCTGCATATCGAACTCTCCCCATCCCTCCTCATCGATTCTGAACGGCGGAGATTTGAAAGCTAAAAACGAACATAGTAATTAGCCACCATATCCAGGCATAAACAATATCTTCACCGCAAAATCAAACCCCCCCATCAACCCAACCCAACCCAACGCAAAAAAAAAAAAAAAAAAGAGGGCCGAAACCTACTCTGAATAGCCCTCGCCTCAAAACTCGGATGCAGCGTATACGTGACCCGATCAAACAGCGACGCAGCTATCTCCTCGCCATGCTCGTTTAGCATGTACACTTCAATCGACCATTTCCGCAGAGGCAGCTCGTTGACCGTGTCCGCGTTTGCATCCCTATGTTCCCAAGATTCATGTTAGCATGTCTGCAAACAACATATGCGCGTGACGTGTCTATATGTAATTTGTGATCGCGATGGATATAGGTATATAGGTGGGTAGGTAGGTAGGTGACAAAGGAACGCGCGAGTGTTTTGGGGGGGGAGGGGTTGCGGATCTAGGTCAGGTGGTCCGGCTCAAGATCCATTTCTTTGAGCCTCCCTATCCGGACGTCCGTTGCGTCCGCGCTGGCCGTCGCATTCTGGCACGCATGCACGGGGGACAGGTATGCGGCGGCAGACATGTACAGCAACAGGGCGAGTGGCGCGGTATGATGGTGTAGACGGGTGTGGGGACAGGGAGGAGGGGCTGGCTCTAGTGTAGATAGAGGAGGGGACGACGAACTTGAGATTCTGCTCCGTAATGAGCTTGACGGTGCGTTTAACCTGAGAGAACAGAGGACAGGCATTAGCAAAGGAGGTTCTTCAGGTAGGGATCGGGGACGTGAAAAGACGCGAGCAAGCCACAGCTCGCGCGCGTTGGCTGGTGGTGTGTGTGGTGGGCGCTCTCCGCACGGAATGGGGCAGCTTCGTCGCGGGCAGATGAGAGAGAGAGGGGGCGCGGAACTCACGTCAGGCATTGTGTCAGCCTCTGCTTGAGGGGTATCTTTTCTGTTTCTTGAGTATCTGGGTAAAACGGGACGTGGATGGCGTTGCAGATGGGATGGGATGGGATGGGGTGCAGCGAGAAGAATGTCGTGGTTGGTTGGTTGGTTGTTGGGTGTGGAGAGCTAAGCTTTTTCTGCCCGCAACAACACCGCTGTCTATTTAACCCTTGAACGGGCGGGATATCATGGCGGTTTATATAGATAGAGGCTATAGATGCAGTCGAGGATTGAGAAACGGGCAGTCGATGGTTCTGTCAATGAACTTCACGGGTTCTTTCGCTCACTACTCACGCTTGTTTTCGTCTGCTTTGTTCTCGTCTCTTTTACGCGCCCGTATCTAGTATATAGATAGACATATTTAAATGGAATAATGACTCTTTAACACTGGAGCCAGGTTTCTTTAACCGCCCATGCCACGTGAGACATATGTATTTACACCGGTGGGTAGATTCATCTTCCTATGGACATTTCTTCCCCTTCTTCTCCAAAGTCTACATCACGATATGTATATATTCCAGCCCTATAGACGCAAAGTGACACATCCATCCCTCATTCTCACCCCTTACGTCTATCTGTTCCCCATTACCTGCCAAAATATCACTATGCAGTTAAGAATAGCCCGTTCCATACATAGCTGGGTGTTAATCACCAATCCAATCCTTCCTTCAGATGAAAACCTACCCTGAAATAATGTCATATATCTGTATAAATAGAGAACTATTCCTCCTCCCTCAAACTAGACATAGATTTTCGACTTAGTTCCAAGGTTACCCTTTCCAATGCCGTAACCTTAGAGGTGGGAGGAAGAAAAAGAAAGACTTATTTTCTCTACTCTACTCTAGTTATCTATATGCTATATCATAGATAGCTGCAGACTGGAACTTTTATCCAATCTCAATATCATGCCCATAAGAAAAGAACTGAATACCAGTAATAATAATAATTGTGTGAAGAAAAGGTGTATGTTGATTGATCATTTGGGTAACTAGTAAGGTAAACAAAGCAGGATCTCGGAGTTCTAAGGCTAAGGTTAAGTGCCTAAAGAGGTGTTATAGGTAAGGTGGGAAGGGTTGGGGGGTAGGTATGAATATCATCATCTCACTCTCACTCTCTCTATACAATGTAGTTACTGCAACTCTTCTACCACCCATCTCTGCATCAAAATGTGGAAAAAAGTGAGAAAGAGAAGTAGAAGCCCACTACCATTCCCCTAGCCCCCCTCTAACCTCCCCAACCCTAACTACATACACTACCATGGCTCAGTTCCATTTCAATTCAATTCCAAGACCAAAAAACAACCAACAACAAAACCACAAAGCTTTCTTTTCCTTCAACCCGCTTCTATTAAAAGTCTTTTCATCTGTTTTGTTTTGTTTCCCTCTTCGTGTTTCTGTTCCTCTCCTTCCGTTCTGCACTGGCGTCAAAGGGGGGGGGGGTAATGGTCTCATTGACCACAAAAATCGGGGAATATGGGGGGATGGGATGGGATGGGAGATGGGGTATTTGGGGAAGTTGAGAAAGGGGTCGATCTGGGGATGGGGAAAAATAGGGGTAGTGTGTTTTTTCGTGGGGGAGACGGGTGCATGGGGGGGATATCAGCGGTTGTCGATAGCCGTATAAGGCCATGGTGTTGTAGATGGCGATGTGATGGCGATGGGTTAGAGGTTTACTCTTCGCCGCCGGCAGCGGCGAAGAGCTTCTCGTTCTCCTCCTGGGCCTTCTCGAACGCCTCTTTGAAGAGGTTGGCATCTACACACACATATTTGTCAGGACTGTATATCTCATATCTACTACTCGAGAACGGGGAAAGTAATCTCTTGAATGAATGGCGGGGCCAACTCACTCTCACTGTTACCAAAGCGGATGGCAAGAGTCTGAGCCTCAGGCTCGCCCTCGCTGACGTCCGCAGCGGCATTCCACACCCAGCTTCTGTCGCTGCCGACGTTGGGAGATAGCTTCATATCAGGGACAACTACACAAGGGAAAAAAAAAAAAAAAAATCAGCAATCATAGCTCCTCACGGGGGAAAATATAGAAATCGATAGAAACATACTATAGTGATTCGCGCAAACCTTGAGCGTCTTATCTCTCCGCATAACCAGACGCGTCTTCTGGTTCTCCTTGTGCTTGAGCAGTCTGACATCCCCGGTTCCACGCTCCTTCCACTCCTTGGACTCACGGTCGAACCGGAAGAGCTTCGCGCGCATCTTGAAGGTCTGTTCCTCGAGCTCCTCGTTTGTCTTGACCTCGACCTTCTCGGTGAGGTGGATCACGGGCTCGAAGTGCACGTCGGC